GGCATGGGAACATAGAGGCGTAAACAAGGCTTCCTCCAACAATGCAAGTTGGTATGAATTGTGTTTGACGTATAAATATTTAAATTGTACACTCTCCAATAACTCAAGTTTTTAAAGTAGATTGTTGTTTAACATGATACCAGAGCAGAAGATTTTATATTCGAATCTTATCGATACCTTAATTGTTAATTTGTATTCGGACCTACGCCATAGTTGACATCGGTTGGAGATATCGGGACCCGACAAAACTATAAAATTGTTCTATTGTGATTTGTGCATTATGGATTTGAGTCACAGAATAACCCTCCGCAAGCGGTACAAAGACTGTATACATTTATCTTTTTATCTTTCAATCCATATTAACGAAAATTTCGTACATTGAATTTTTTTCTCTCGAAATCTTGTGACCACTTTGGATGCGTTGTTTACTTTTTATTGGCTTTTATGTTCCGGAGATCCTGTTTTTGAATTTTTAAAACATTTTTTTAGGGTTAATTGGGCATGGTGTAATCCCTCTTTGTTTTGGTGTTGTTTAGAGGTTTTAATAAATTGATAGGTTTTTTTTCCTAGTCCCTAACCCTACCCTATGCATAAGTGACTAGCATAGGAGGACAAAGAATGGGATGATGCAATTAAAATGTAGAAAGCCCCTCAACTAAGAGACTAAGTAAAATCAAGCTACCATGTCTCTCAATTGGCATGATGGTGGTCCAGTTGTGGCTAGGGGTGCAAGGGTTGGACAACCGATTTCAATCCGAGTCTAATCCGAAAAAATTAGGACTTGGACAAGGATTTTTAATATTTGGGTTGGGTTTGGGTCAAAAAATCCTAACCCGAATTCAATTTGGGTTGGGTTAGTGTTAAGACCTCGTGAACCTGAGTTCAATCCGAACCTGAAAAATTAAAAAAAAAATTATATATATATATAAAGCATTAGCACTGATTTTTCATTTTTGTTTTATCGTTTTCTGTTTCTCTTGTTCTCTTTGTCTCTCTCGTTAAAAATTTGGTTGAAGTTATTGGTTGTTAATTTAGGTGAATATTATGTAATATATGTATTAGGTTTAAAACAATAAACTTATTTTGGGCTCTACCTAAATTGAACCTGTAAAATAACCCGAAATAATCAACCTGAATTCAACCCGAGCCCGCCCGAATTAAACTCGGGCAGTGCTCGGGTTGAGTTTCCCAACCCGAGGTAGGGTTAGAGTTATGATTTAAGATTATATACTTAGGGTTGATTGTCCAACCTGTCCAAGTTGCACTCCTAGTTGCGACAGACTTTACATAAGCCTTACCTTTACTGAATTATTGACTCTGTATCCAATTGCACTTGGCTTTTTAGCTTGATGTAATGTGAAAAATATCCAATTTAAAACCAATTAGATAGAAGATCATGAAATGATTTTTTTTTTTTGGGTGGTCCAAAAATTTTCCATTATGGAATTCACTTTTGCATACAAACACCAAATTTCCTACCACAGTAAAAAAAATTGACTTTATTGGGCCTTGATCAATTCAAAGTTACGGCTCAGTGGAGGAAAAAAGTTTAAGATCAATCTTAACTTTTGAAATCGATCCTAATCGATTAATTGATTCAGCACTGATTCAAAGTTATGGCTCAATGGAGGAAAAAGATTAAGATCAACCTTAACTTTTAGATTCGATCACCGAGACAGAATTGAACACGATTGAGTTGTAACTTTCTCGCATTGTAGTCTTTTCCTACCTAAAACCACAGATCTAGAGAAAATTCGAATCTCTCCAAGGACAGTTGTTGGAGGTGGTTTTATCTTTTTATCTGATGCAACTTCAAAGGAAAGTGTTCATTTCCATCCCCCATGCTCTTATCTACTTTTAGAAAACAGTATGGAGGTGGTCAAAGAAGAATGTAAGAAAGTTGGAATTACATCAAGAATAAAGATGCATGGTAGCATATTTGTATGTACTTGGAAGATTTTATTCCAAAAACAAGATCTTTGTACTTCTCTTTATTTCTTCTTATTCTCGTGGGTATCTTTATCTATATATTCCGCGTTGAACATCTTGTCAACAAAGGAATACCTCATCTTTTTCTTTTTTTCAACACTTAGGGGTGTTCGGATTAGTTTATGCGCATTTTAACTAATTTCATTTCCTTTTTTATTATAGACAAACCATTGATACTAAGACTAAGATATTCTTGATAGGACGGCACACCCTTTTGAAGAAAGACTCCTAATAATTGTAGATGACTTACCATCACGAGCGGAGCCACACCTCATTTTTTTGGCACAAAAGCAAAAGTTACCCCTTTTTTTTTAAAATTCCATGTTCCAATATAATTCTAGAATTTACCCCCCTTAAAAAAGTTTGAATGCACTTTGATTGGCTTAAATATCTCACATTCATATTAAATTTCAAAATTCATAATTAAGTACTTGACTAATATTTAGTTAGTTGAACCTCATCTTCATGTTTTCAAGAAAACATCCCAAAACTTTTTTATTCTCTCTCCCCTATAATTTGCCTCTTCATGGCGCACTTATTTGTTGCATATATAAATCCTATATGTCTTTCAATGCAAGACACTAAAAAATTCTGTTAAGGTATAAACTCTCTTACTATCTCTCCCTACATAACATTCAAAAAAACTTGTGTTGTAGAAAATTCGGAGTTGAGTCTATGTGTTATAATACTCTATCATTAGAACAAAAAGGAAAACACGGTAATTTTTTGAGTTGTGAGAGGACGTAGAACATCCTCCAAGGCCTTGGAATTAAAAAAATAGGTATATGTTTTTGATTATACGCTTTCCCATATATTTACCATTCATGTTGACCTTATAGAAACTACATATTCCCTTCAGCCTTGCAACTTGTGGTCTTACTAATTCACTCTTTCCCCAATTTGTTAACAACAATTTCACTTTCTTTTTTTTTGAGGTGGATTATGCATCAAGAAAATGTTACCAACCAAATGGAGGACTTGATTTACCTTCACCAACCTTTGCATACGTGATTTCGTGATGGCGTGAGTCTCATGCAGAGTAGCGTGAATAAAGAAATGAGTTTCAACAACAGAAATTTTAATCTGTTGATTATCGCAATAATACCAGATTAAAGTTTTTGAGAACCTTGTTGATTCACAAAGAATACCAAGTCAATTGGGAAGAACAAAAAATTTGTCTCTGAGTTTATTTTAGATAATACTAAAGTTGTTGAATCAGTTTCTCAACACAATATAAATATGAAACTTTAATGGTTCTAAATTACTAGAAAAATCAAGCAAATATTATGAAAATACCCCCAAAAGTGTGATAAAATAGAAAAGTGCCTAAAAAATGCCATAATTGTCTTTTTTGGTTTAAAAATGACGGGTTAAAAGACAAATTGTAATCTTATTCAGATTGCCTTTCAGAATGGAATTTTTTGAAATTTTTTGACACTATCGCTCAAAATCAACCCTAATTGGCACCCATTCAACACTATTTTTGACGATCTTGATCTATTATGTAATCTTCTGCTATACGTGTTGTATCATGCATTAAATTGTCTAACGATTCTGTGCATGATCCGAAAGATTTTAAGAATAAAAGCAAATTCTGCCCACTTACTTTTGTTTCCAATTATCGAACCTGGGCACGTAAAAGTGGTGAGGGCTAGAAATGGTGCAAACCTGTTCTACCCAAGGGTTTGATATTCTGAGTAAAAGTGGTTTTTAGTGAACAACTTGACAACGAAGAGCCTTTTGAGTTTTGACCTGAAAAAAAGCTCCACAAATTCTTTTTGGGTTCTGAAAGAAATGTGCATCTGACAGGCATGTTCCATGGATGCCCTGAAAATAGGGAAGGTTTCCTTGGTGAAAAGCTTCATGGGTTAGTACCTTTAAAGCAACTGGGTGCCTCGCCCCATTCAAGTCCACAAAGAGGATCCTATAGTGGATGAAAAATCTAGAAGACTCTTTGAATTTAGAAAGGTCAAATTGTCTCAAGTAGTTGCTCTGAAAAGATGGTATTGGGGAGCAGCCTGAAGTTAGGTAGGCTTTTTTTTTTTTTGACTCCTATGACATGAATTGTTTTTCACTGTGTGTATATTGTCACCAGCATACCTTTTTTTATGAGTAGAAATATTTTGAGCGTATATATATATATATATATTTAAAAAAAATCAACACTTTTATTCCATAACCAAATTTTTACAATCAATGAAAATGCTATATATAGCTATGATTAAGTATCATATATCACTGACGCAGAGGAATAAAGGAATAAAAAGAACGATTTTAAGTATATTTATATTTTATACACTAAATCCATAGAAAAAATAACAAGAGAATATCGCTAAAAATGTATATTATTCACTGAATAATCTCTATTACATAAGAGAATATATATAAGAACGGACAAAACCTTAATCGCTCCCACGTAAAATTTCTAAATATATAAAAATTACCAAAAATAAAAAATTACAATCTAATTAATTAGCATAAAACACGTGTCGTCTGGAGTTCAACAAAATTGAAAGTACTGAATTCAAAACCTACAATAATTTTTTATTAATTTCTGAATTTTTTCCTAAAACGGAAAAAATGGGGTTTCAGGGCCTAGACGATCGACTCAAAACTGGAGGAGTTGATGACAAAGTTATGAGTTTGATCGTTGGCCCGATTCGAATTAAACACCAAGTAATCATCAACCACTTGTTCTATATCATATCAAATTGGGTAGATTCTATAGCATTATTCCCGATTACATTAAGGTGGTGATGATGGGGTTGCTCTAGGTTGGCCATACAAACATTGTTTGGTGTCAATGGCCACCAATAAGGTGGTGGAAGTCTAAACAAAATCATTCTCGTTTTTCTAAGATTAAACCGACGGATTCACAAATAAAAAATCTAATGTTACAATTAGCCCATGCATTGTTGAAGCTTCTAAAAAAGCTAGGTGAAATAATAAAGTACCTCGTATTTTTTCCCTGCTTGCACTAGATTGAGCTAGAGGGGATGATACACAACTATATGAGGGGTGTTCGGGTAGCTCATAGCTCGCCCCATGCCATGTTGTCATGAGTTCGAACCTCCTCACCTCTACCAACGAAAAGTTGGGATACATATCATAGAAAGCCATGTCCATACAACTTCTCCATTCTATGTTGTGTTACTTTCAACCAAAGTTGTTTTCTAGAGTTGTTATTAAGTTAGGTTAAAAACCCACCTAATACAAGAGTGCAAGACAGCTTTATGTGAATGATAAATGGATGCATTCTCTCAAAAGAGCCTCTTAAATGAGTTGAAAATGGGAGTCCCTATCACTGTGCCTACCAGGGCTACCCCCATAGACTCCATGTGATGACATGTGGCATTTTCCCAATTGCCCACTTGGCCTTCGAAGATAGGGTGATCTGTATTCTTTCACTTTGATACCTTATGTCTAATCTTATCCTTTCACTTCCTATATAAAGAACGCTCAATGACCAAAGTTTTTGTAGCCAAAATAATATCAAGCTCTTGTGATCCTTCTTATTAGAAATATAGGAATGGCTACAATGACTTTAGATGGAAATTTGAGCCTTCAAATCAGCAAAGACCCTCAAAAACATAGGGTCGTGACAGAGGAAATCGACGGTCTAATAAGAGTTTACAATGACGGACATGTGGAAAGATTTCAAATTGTTCCATGTGTTACGTCTATATTGCCTCCGGAGTTTGGTGTAAACTCCGGAGACATAGTCATTGACAAGTTATCAAAAATTTGGGCACGTTTTTACGTGCCCAAATACCATGGGAAGAAGATTCCCCTCCTAGTATACTTTCATGGAGGTGGTTTTTGTGTTGGCTCAGCTGCTTGGAGTTGCTACCATGACTTTCTAGCAAAACTAGCAGCAGGAGCAAATTGCATTATCATGTCTGTAAATTACAGTTTGGCCCCCGAAAATCCTCTTCCTGCTGCTTATGAAGATGGATTTAAAGCTCTTATGTGGATTAAACAACAAGCTCTAAGTGGGGTTACTGATCATCAATGGTGGTCAAGCCACTGCAACTTCTGCAACATCTTCCTCGCCGGCGACAGTGCCGGAGCCAGCATAGCCTACAATGTGGCCTTGAGGATAGGCGACGCCGCGCCACCACTTTGAAGCCTATGGGCATTAAGGGGACCATTTTGGTTCAGCCATTTTTTGGAGGAGAGACAAGGACACACTCGGAGAAGTTCATGGTGCAACCACCGCGTTCCGCCCTCAGTTTGGCAGCCTCCGACACATACTGGAGGCTGTCACTGCCGACGGGGGCGAACCGTGACCATCCATGGTGCAACCCATTGGCAAGAGGGGCTAATAAATTGCAGGACTTGGGGTTTTGGTGTGTGTATCAGAGATGGATATATTGAAAGATAGGACCTTGGAGTTCTGTGCTGCTTTGGCTAATGCTGGTAACAAAGTGGAGCATGCTGCGTATAAAGGTGTTGGGCATGCATTTCAGGGTTCTGAGCAAGTCTCCACTCTCACAGACTCGAACCCTTGAGATGATTTCATATCAAAGGGTTCATTAGTAGATGACAATCTCTCTCTCTCTCTCTCTCTCTCTCTCTCTTAAGTATGTGTATGCATATAAAATTGTCCTTTTCTGATTTGAGAACAGAGATTTCATATCGATTTTGTAATATGGTTTTTAATATGATTGTAGTTACGCAATATCATTTGTCTATTTTCTTTAACTTACTATTAAACTTATTGGGTCTCACCAAATTCTTCCAATGAAATTCACCACCAATATATTAAAGAGATCAAATAAATTTAACAATAAATGATTGTACACGATAAAAATGCCGTAATTTATGGATAATTGTGGTTTGAGAAAGGGTCTACACTAAAATTATTGGACTCTGGGTGTGACATAAAGGGCGGAGTGGAGAGAGGTAGTAAGAGAAGTTGTGGGTCCCTTTGTAAGTCTCCTCTGTTAAAACATCAATAATGCTAATTACATTAATCAAACTTTTTTGGTAATGTTTTCTCATCAACACGATACATGCACCCGCAAAAGAACTTGGACATTCACATAAGAAATGGTTCTCTCACAATATGATGGAAGGATCTGTCAATGGCCAGCAAGTTACAGTTAAACTGTTATTTTGCATTTCCTTTACATCTTTGTTCAGGGTGCTTGTACCGTGCCGTTTTTATACTGTATTACTTTGAAACGTATATTACATTTACATTTAGGGTGACATCGAAATCTATTTAATTCATATCATTATTTTTATTAATAAAACTATTTTAATTTAATACTATGAGTCCATTGGTACCATACTGAAATAAATTTGTGATTGATGATTTTAGTTTGAATAATTTTATCATAAAAGTAATAATAAAAAATTTTATATGTATCATGATTTTATTAGATAAAAA